GCATTTCATAACCTTTTCATTGATATATAGTTTATGGTGGTTACGTTTTAAATAGCGTGGTAACAATGTTTTCGCGAAGGACACCCGCGAAGGTCTACCGTATCCTTAACGTGATGACGGGCGTGGTCTCAGGCGACATAAATTTTGCATTCTTCTCAAAATTCATACACAGTTGAAAGAGTAAGGCAAGGATTCTTGCATTGGACCAAGAAAATTTAGTGGAAGAACCTTTTCAATCCTCTATCATTACTTTTGAGCGTCAAACATAGGCTTGAAAAAAATGTGAACAGCTCATAAATAGTGAATCATGATGGTGTGTACGCAGTGATATCTGGGTAGGGTCATGGGCTTGATGAAATGATGGGAGATGCGTGCTCTAGAAATCCTGTTGCGTATCCTCAAGGTGCCATCCTTCATGATAAATAGCATAATTTTTATAATGCCATTAGATGCCTTCGCTGGCTATCCTCCTCTAGAAGGGTTCCTCCGGGTATCGAAATAACTACGTCCATAATTGCGATTATTCAAGTTCCATGCGTATGCTTGACTTTTTCTTTTTGCTGTGAAATCATCCACAATATCACTACAGTACTGTGCAAAAGTAATGCGAGCTATTATCGCCGAATGTCGCATTTTGTTCATCCGATACATCGCCGATATATCGGAAGAACAAAGAGGGCTTGATTTGAAGTTCGTTGTAGTATTATGAAACGAGGCAGTCCACAAGAGAAATATCCTGATTAAATATTGAAGAAACGAAATTATTTTGAAAGCAAATGATTTTTTCTAAGGTATCGTTTACAGCGCCTTACGGTAAAATAATAGAGAAATCATCACTCTATCCAGTAGCTCGATTAAGCAATACGTAGTGGTTTAGCGCGTAGTTTTCAAACACGATGGGTCATCTATCGATCAACAGATCAGCTAGACTTGGTTTGACTTTGTTGCTATGCGAGTACAACAAGTGAATAATGAGAAACACTTCTACAAGCGTAATCAAACAAATATATTTAGACTCAATGGCTCTTTAACTACTCAAAGATTATTATGGTATTTCATACTCTACAGGGTAAAAATCCGCGGGTGCTTTGCAAACACGATTGGCCATCGATCGATCACCAGACTTTGTTTGACTTTGTTGCCATGCAAGTGAAACAAGCGAATTATGAACAACACTTTTACACGCCTAATCAAACAAATATACAGAGAGTCAATAGATCTTTAACGGCGCAAATGTTTAAAAGTCACTGACCATAAATATCGAGAATCCGCCGACGGTTGAAAAATTTTAATGAAATGAATTACGAAGTTCGTAATACATTTCATTTTTCCGAAACGACGCTTTCGATGAACCTTTTTCAAATATTTTATCAAAAAGTTCTATAGCGCTTTGCTTTCTCCATAAAAACGAAAAGTTTAAAATACGCCTCGATGGCCGTTGCTCCCCCGTATAATGATGAAAAATGATGCAACTTCGGCAACTTCGAATGCCGCAACATGATACGATCCGCTTTCAAATTTTGTTTTCTAGCAGATGGACCTTTTTTCTATTTTAAAATATATATTCCTTCTTATGTTGTTACGTTTAAGTCTGAAAAGTGACCTGTTGCATTTTATTTATTTTTTTTGTAGCTGAAGACAGCAAAGATACCACGGCATCAAAAATCGTAACCGATAAAGGAGCATCACTGAGCGTAAAAGGCGTTAACTTGATCTGTCCTCCTGGAGCCGTGAAAGATCCTGTCAGAATCCAACTTACCTTGGAAGAACCTCACAGATACTGTTACCTGATAGCTCGATGTGATCTCCACAACGATGTGTCATTTGTTGCTCCCATCATCAACTGTCAACCAAACGGCCAGAAGTTCGAAAAATCTGTCACTCTGAGGGTTACATTAAACAGCAAAAGAGTGGAGTCAGACGGTGATCTCCTCGTTTTACATGGAACTCGAACCGGTCAAAACCAAATGATACATTGGGAGGACGTCACTGGTGATTCCAGATTTGATTTGCAAACGCAGAAACTAGAAGTTAGGATCAGCCAGTTTTCATTCTTTAAAACTCTAAAGGTTTTAACAGTGGTAAACACCAAAAAAATTGTAACCCGGCTGAACCTTATGCCCTTCAACTATAACTTGTCAGTCCTCCTCAAAACTAATCAGCAGCAAAGAGCCTTTGATGAACTTGCCCTTGTGTTCATGAGCCAAGACACCTACCAGGAGGAATACTACAGAGATCATGATGATTCTGCCATAATGCGGCTTAAAAAAGATGGATTTGAAGAGCTTCCTACTAACTCCACAAATGCACAGGGAAACGTCTGCATTTACAACAACGAAACCTTAATAATATCAATTCAACTCGGCGAGGATTACAAACTGGTAAACAACCAGAAAGAATGCTTTGAAGTTGTGGTGGACTCACCTGTTTGGTGGAATACTGGACATGCGATCCAATTATCTTTACAAGCTTCTAACACGAATTCAAAAATTGTTTGTGGAAAGATCCTTGTGAAAGGCGAGCATGGACACGTTCGGGAGAGCAAGTTTTGCCAAGAAGGTGAGCTTCTGCCATTCGAGTTATTCGAATGGTAGTCATACCACAATAAGTCTTTGGGTAATACAATTTTCGCATGATCTCATACCAAAATTGCATAAGGTTAAATGAACGTACTTATTTTGTGAAACAAATCATTTATTGCAGATCTGCGTGGCTATGTGAGACACGTTCTTGCTGTGGAGAGAGCAATTTTTAACGTGAAGGCCATCGCTCAAAAGCTTGAATTACCCGCAGAAACTCAGCATCAAGTTGTTGCATGTTGGCAAAGCGAGGCAGAACAACTGGAGCTTACATTAATACACTGGAGGGAAAAGCATAGGGATGCAGCAAATCCGAATGATCTGAAAAAAGCCCTTGAGGACTTAGAACCTGAAGGTAAACCTCTTTTCTCCTACTATGTTTAAACTTGTAAGCATGGTCTGAGTGCGACTAGGAGGTTGTTTACAACGACACACGTTGATGCTCCATCTTTTCATCCACGTTCTGTTTGATTTTTTTGCGAAAAAGCAAGATTGTCAGTTGGAAAAAAAAGGTATTTTTTTTTTACACGTATACCGATTTCGGAAACGGAGAAGAACGCCAGATATTCCATACCCGGCTGACCATTAAGACAGTCCAAATATTTTCTGATATTATTGCAAAGTGCAAAAGCTTACTCTCCTTGCTCATTTTAATGTTGGTCATTTCTAGTGTTGCTCAGTAGTACTACTTGAGTCAACCGTCGGGGAAGACAGGACTACAGATAAGAATCATAATAGCTATTTTGTAATAGTCACCTTATTTCTCCAAATCAATTTTAGAATACAAGGTGAAAGAGAGAGGACAAATGCACATCGAACACTTAAGAGAGTTGGCATTCAAAATCACAGGTTTACGAAATCAGAACTCTGACCTAATGACATATTTTGGTCTTGAAGTTAAGAAGCTTTGCAGCGCAGTTTTAAGAGACTGCTGTATTGAGAACGAAACCTCCAAAGGAGAGATGGAATTAGCGATTCAAACGGAGAATTTTGCCTCCGTTCTTGTGATGAAAAAGCGACTACCAGAGAGCTTTGGAAAAACCTGCACGCTCATGTTCTCCTCTCAAGAGAATGGATTCATTACAAGTAGTTTCCTATGCATCGTTTCTGAGCTCATCCAAGCCATTAAAGAAATCTTCCGAGAGGAGAAAATTCAACGAATACCGAGTGGATTGCAAGGAGTGGAGGAGGGGGAAACGCTCCAAAAAATTACCTCAGGCATTCGAGATGCTGCTCATGATAAGAATATTTTCAAACTTTGGAATGAGGTGTGCCATATTCTCGAGATTCTGTGTCGAGCCAATAACGATGACCGACAAAGAGAATCACAGATACAACGCTGGAGAAGATGCGCCATGATGATTGAAATGTTGTCTTTTCTGGAAAAGTTCTTTCAATGTACTGAAGGACGTAGATTGTACAAAAGATTGGAATTTTTTTCCTACCTTCTCGGAGACATTATGTCAAACCCTGTAGCTTTTGAGGGGAGCTTCTCCCGTGATTTCCACAATGTTGCAGTAAGTTTGTTGAAGTTCGCTAAGTTTGATCCATCACACCTTGTGCGATTTGAACTAAAAAACCCAACTAACTCGATAAATTACCAGACAAAAGATGGCATAAAGTACGATATGTCGAAAGACATGTTTTCTCAGCTCTTTGGGATGATCAAGAGGTGTGATGAAAACTTGCAACTTGAGGCTACTGCACGTGTTCACATCGGTGGACAACTTCTCGCACTTGGAGCATTTGAAGCAATAATCATCCTTCCTGAGCCATGCAGAAAGGTTGTTGAAAATGCTCCCATCGCTTCATTTCCAGTATTATTCAAAAGTGAAACTGACGGAGAATCTTCGAACCTAAGAGTTACTCTGTATTCTACGGAGAAAGACAAAATCAGCAAGGCTCTGGAATATTTGCAGATTGAGTTAGATGGACAATTGAGCCTCTCAAAACAAACAGAAATTAAGGAAACCAGCCTGAAACTTTTGAACGTCGCCAAAGCAGGGACAAGCCTTAGACTACGTTTGACCCACATATGGGGATCAAGGACCATAGGTGTTGAAAGCAACAGTTTTGTGCCTCAGCCGCTGGGATATTCATCTTTAGAAACTCGGAACAATTTGGAAATAACAGGTTGAGATAAAAGTATTATTTTGTAAAAGTAACTTTGCTGGTCATGAAGTCTGCTGTTAAACTATTTTTGTGATATAAATGGCTAATATGATCAACTCGTATTAAGAAATCAGAGACAAGAACCTACTTAATTTCCTTCCTGCGACATTTTCGACACTACGGATCTTTGCACTGATTAACATTTTTCTCTTGTGAGCTAAGTAATGCTATGTGAAACGAGTTGAGTCATTTTTCGACCCATTTCCAAAGTAGTGTTTTAATTACAAAACATTCGTTAGATTCAGTGCGTGACCAAAATGGCTAACTGTACTAGATATTGCTTAGATGAACCTGATCAACCAGCGCTGAGGGAATTGACACTCTTATCAGCAACAAGCGAATACATTGCTGATAGGCGCAACAGTGGCAATTTCGTTCCTACGACATTTTCCACATTTGGGATCTCGCTTTGCACTGTATAAGTATCCTTCCCTTGTGAGTCAAGTAGTGCTTTGACAAACGAGTTAACTCATTTTGCAACCCTTTTCAAAAATAGTGTTTTAATTACTAAAAATTTGTTAGATTTAATGTGTGATCAAAAGTACCTAACTGCTCTATATATTTCTTTAGATGAGTCTGATCAACAAGCGATTGGGGAATCGTCAGTTTTACCACCTGCAGGAACAAGCAAATACTTTGCGGATAACAACAAAAGAGGCAACTTCATGACTGGCCCGTCTAGTGCTGGACTAACTCCTCTCTCAACAAGGTCAACTGGTATGTTTCGGCGGAGATTTTGAACTTATCTAATGGTGCACTCTTTAGGGAGAATCGATCCTTTCTTCCCATTCTTCTGTTCCTTCAATGATCGCATGAAATAAAGCTTGTTGTTCTTTTGCTGGTTGATCTCTCTCACATCAACAAGAAATATGTCGTCAAAATAGTGCAAAATGGTGCATTCTTTCCGGAAGATTGATCCAGATCAGTTTTTTTAATCCGAGATCACCCAATGATCCGTTTTCAGATCCTCAGATCAGCGACGTTATGAATCCCTGTTTTGAGTGGATTAAATAGATCAATGATATGACAATGGACCCAATGTAAAGGAACGCTACAGATTAAAAGAAAAACTCTGACCCGGATCCTCCAAAAGGAACGCACCCTCGAGCTATTTGTAATTTGATGTTGCATTGTATACAGCAGTTTTAATGTAGTATCTTTCTAATTACGCTTTATTTCAGAAGTAAACGTTGATAACTATACCGATCACCCTGTCAGCATGGAGGGTCACGTTTGTGTGACTGTAGAGAACCTTGATCAGCAGCACAGCGGTATGTAAACTTACTCTGTGGTGTATTATTAAATGATTGTGCTGAGTGTAGTGGACTAGAAATTTATTTATAGTAAGGGAGGGAATTGTAAATGATCTAGAAGGAAAGAAGGAAGTTACCCGTTGTTAGCTCATTATATCTGTGTTTGTAGCATTTTTTACTTTGTCTCCTACTTTTCTTCTAAACTTCATTTACCTAATTTTATTGAGTGTAATGAGATACTTACATTTTAAGCTCTTATCGGTCTCAACTACCGACCATAAAGGGCAAAATGATATGATTAACTGGCAACCTGGCATACGCCAGAAAAACAAGAACAACAAGGCTAGCTTTATTTTATGCGATACAGGGTTATTTCGGGCTGTCAGTTCCCCTTTATTTTCATTCATTATTTTATAGTGCTTAGAAAAAAGTAACTGTAGTTTTGGTGAGGGAAAAATGAAGCACATTGTTGTTCTTGTTGTTGGAAGAGAAATCTCTGAAACCATCCTTCGCACTGTTCCTCTAGGTGGTCTAAGAATGGTTTTCCTATAAAAAAGAAGTATTTTTTATCCTTTCTTCCCATTCTTCTGTTCCTCCAGTGATCGCATGAAATAAAGCTTGTTGTTCTTTCGCTGGTTGACCTTTCTAATATCAACCACAAATATGTCGTCAAAAGTAGTAATTAACCAAACGTTTCAAATGATTCAGTTTTCTAGAGGCTGGACCAAGAGCTGCTACAAACAGAATTACAACTGTTATTGGAGAGATTAAGTAAATCGATAACTTTGGAATGAAATTTCATTTGCTGAGTTCTGATGGGGAGTTGTCTAAAACTGTAGAAATTAAAGCCATCGTTCACAGCCGAGAAAATAGCGACCGATTGAATTTTCTCGCCTTAGAAAAGTAGATGAAGTATTGAAGATGACTTTATAGTCATAGCTAGCTGATACAAAAACGTTTATATCCATCTATACACATACCTTTAATTTCCTTTTAAAATGGTGACGGACGATGCATGTATATTGCACATTAAAGGAACAACACCTCTTTTGTTATTGTTCGAAGGTGAATCAAAGACTTCGGAAATTTTGAAACCAGCTATTATACTTTACTCTGTTAATGGAAAAGAAAAGGTGTCTATATTTAGTAGATAATATATAAATAAATGTGGGGGTAGAGTCTACCTTGGCATAAAGTGCTCAATGCTGTGGTAGTAGAGCTAAGTATACATAAGTTAAAGAATTAAAGAGGACGCATCGATTTTCTGTGACTCTGAGTTGGGCGCCTAAGCGCTCGTCAAACAGAAAGAGCTTAGGCGCGAAACTTAGAGTCACAGAGAATCGATGCGTCCTCTTTAACTCTTTGGCATTATAAAGCTTTGCTTTTAGGATTCATTATAGTAAAGACATGTGTTTCGATTGCATAGGCATATAGCTCTTTCCTGGTGACTATTATTCTATGGAGTAATTTGTAGTTAAATTCTATAGGTTTATTTTCTTTGCATGTTTTGCTTATCTGAGTGAAGGCTAGGTTCAGTTAAAATTATCCAGGTTAAGATCTTTTGGCCATTTCTTTTGACCAGTGGGTTCGATTTTGGTCGCATTACCGTACAGCCAGTAGTAATCTTTGCAATTCATTTTCGTTAAATCTATGACAATGGAGTCAGAGATTTTGTAGGAAGTGCTGCCTAAGAAATTATGTTTGTCGATGGGAGGTGCGGTTCTCGCCTTCTCAAGTAGATATTTTGGTATCGCTGAAAGAACTTGAAGAAAATTTAAAAAATTACATTTCATGTTATATCTTTGTTGGAATGTTTGAAATGATAAAAATTTTCCATTGCAATCGAGAAAATCCTTAATTGATAAGACCGCCTTTTCTGACCAATTTAAGTAGAATATTGAATTGCCATCGATTTTAATCTCCTCGTTGTTAAACAAAAGAAGATCTGACAAGTAGTTGGGTCTGTAGAGGGTCTTTAGTTCACGAAAATTCATCAGGATTTGCCTGTGAAAAGGTGGAAGGCCGGATTTCGCCAAAACCTTATTGTCATAATTACAGTGAAGGAGAAAGTTGAGATCGCCAAACTTTTCAATTAAGTGATTCGGGATTGATTTCCAGGCCTCAGGCAAGTGAAGATCGACTGTCAAAAGTCTTGAGATCCAAGCTAGATTTGAAGACTTAAAAAGGATTTCGATGTTCTGAGCACGTAAACCACCATTGGAAATAATCTAGGTACATAACATCCCTTTTTATTTTGTCTTGTTTGTCATTCCAGATAAAATTGAAGATACCACTCTTAATCGTGGGAATGTAGGTGTTAGGAATTGTGAGATGAGAAATACCCAAACATTTCACAATGAGGCATTTACCAAGTAAGGACAGGCCACGCACCCGTGTCACATTTTCACACGGGTGGCCCACGGACCCTCCAATTGTCCAATTTTGTTTTCATGTTGTCAATTTTCCGGTCTAGGTTTTTCTTATTCTTTTCTTTCTCTTCTTTCTCATTGTAAAAGATAAAAGTTCCCAGGGCTCTGACTGGATCAGCTGTCCACTTTAGCTCGAAAGGTTTGGAGTTGTTAAATCTCCAGGGACCTAACCATATAGCTTTTGTCTTTTCCACGTTTAGCGAAAGACCCGAGAAACTTCCAAATGGATCAATCGGTGTTATCGAGTTTTGTACCGAATTTAAGTTTCTTAGAAATAGCGCGGTGTCATCTGCGAATTGACTGACCTTGTGCTCTGTTTGGAATAGCTGAATTCCCTCTACTTTGTTATCTTTCCTTACCTTAGCAGCCAATATTTCCACCCCTAAAATAAATAGATACGGAGAGAGAGGGCACCCTTGTCTAACTCTCCTTGATACTTTAAAAAAATCTGTTGTGAATCTATTATGCAAGACAGCACTTTGGGAATTTGTATGGAGCGTCATAATCCACGGTTTTAAGCAGGGTCAAAAATTGAAAAGACTCAGAGTTTGCTGGATGAAGTTCCATTCTATTGTATCAAAGGCTTTCCTTAAGTCCAATAAGAGGTATACCGGCGATATCTTGTTGTTCTGTTTGTTCCATTAAATCATTAATCAATCTAATATTTTGCCTAATGCATCTGTCTTTCATGAAGCCCGTCTGACTGCTGTTAAATACGTACGGAAGAACTTTTTCTATTCTTAATGCGATGGTTTTTGGTGCAATTTTATAGTCTAAATTTAAGATTTAACAAAGTTATAGGTCGCCAGTTTGATAACTCGTGTAAGTCGGAATTTTCTTTAGAGATCATTGCTATTACTCCCTCAACCCCCACTCCTCGAATACCTAATAATTTTGATGAGTTCCCGTTTTAGTTTAGGGTCCTTGATATTGGAGTATTTTTGGATAGTGGTAGGGTAATTATTTAATTTCCAAAGGCGTGGAGCTGGGATCGCGCTTACTATTTGTGAGGTTGAGGCGTAATTTAACAGCTTTATGTTCCGGGGCTATTGAGATTTTTGTACCCACTTCAGCGACTTGACAGGCGATGGATTTAGCGACCAGAAAAAAATCCATCCGTGATTTGACTTTCGTGCGACTGATTCGTAAGTAAAACACAGCTTTAACAATGAGGTGATTTATTATCGTCGCTGTAAGGCATCCCTTCTTAGCTAGGTCTACCGTTGAGACCGACGTACATTTAAGGACACTGAATGCCTTTTTTATGAAAGTGTCCATTGAATTTCAGCCGTGCAGTTTTAAAAAGCTCGTTAGAGTTGAGTTGGAGCATCCTTATCAATTTGGTCCCGTTCGCTAAAAATAGAGATCGCATTTAGAAAACCTAAATTTTTTAGGACAATATTATGTCTGTATTTTGTGTATATTTTATTATGTATCAAGAACTATGTTCTGACAAAGTTGAGGCACTTTCCTTGTTTTAATTTTTTCAACCTTTAAGAGAGACCTATGGCTTTGAGTGTCACGCAATAAGGGCAGAGGCTTGAATCTGTCACGCTGAACACCGTGGAAAATTAACTTTTCCAGGGGGTGGGGGTAGTGTTTGAGGAGACTGTATGATTAAGATAAAAAGTGCTTTACAGGTAAAAATAACAAAAACGCTTTAAGCTGTATGGTTTTACTTCAAGGTTGAGAGTTCATCACTAAAACCACAAAAAGAAAAAAAAGAAAAAAAAAAAAGAAAAGAAAAAAACAAAGAAAAAATTACGTTAATTTTTTTCAAATTAAGTTCATTTTGCTGCATGCCCAATCTTGCCACCATTTTATGCAATATATCAATTTACTATAGTTTTTTTCTACAAAATTACTTCAAACTTCAAGAAACTCATATGGTACATGCGTCTCAAGCTCACTTTATTTATCGGCAAAACGTCCTTCCCGCTCCCACCCTTTCTTACAACGTTGACCCCATTATAACGTGCGGAAACGATCAGAACCGACACCGCGGAAATACGTTTTTTAGGGCACGATACAGTATTTTAATGGTCAGCGGACACCTCAACGAAACCATGAAATGCCGATAACTTTTACAATGTTTTATCTCCGTGAGTCAAATCGACAGCGTAAAAAGTCAAAACTTAGAAAGAATACTCTAAACTTAGCTTTGAAACTCGGCTCACCTTTTGGATAGTTCTTAAGCTCAATTATATAATTTGCCAAAGCCGAACTGAAGTTGCACACGATATGAAATTGTTGTTTTTCGCTGGCGGCTCCGTGGCAACTAAGTTTTGTTTATAAAAGAGCTTATGCACCAAGGCTAAAAATGAGACGATTTTTGAATGGTTGAAGCGGTGATCCGAGGACGCTGCACTATCAGGTTTGTAAAGCAGTGGCTTGAACCGTATAAATGGGCATGTCAACGGCATTTCGGTCAGATTCGCCGAAAAGAAGACAAAACATGCCCGTGTAGCACGGCCACCCTATCCCCACTAGTTACTGTATGTATCATAGTTGGCCAAAAAACCTACGACTGTAACATGCATAGGACTGAAGCCCCCAAAAGTACAAAGACTGGCTCAACTAGAGGAAGAATAAACCGAGGTATGCTTTAAGTACAAAATGTCCATTATAATGATAATAAAGAAGTTTTCACTTTCCATCTTAGTTTGTAATTTTTTTT